TTATATATATATATATACATATATATATATATATATATATATATATATATATATATATATATATATATATATATATATATATATATATATATATATATATGTATATATATATATATATATATATATATATATATATATATATATATATATATATATATATATATATATATATATATATATATATATATATGTATATATATATATATATATATATATATATAAACATATATATACATATATTATTTTATAAATTTTTTAATTTATTAAAAAAGCATTGCAAATAATGAATTGTACAATTTTATCTGTTGTTAAATACAAAGTCAAGGTCACTGACACCATCACAAAGAATACAGAGTTATTTTTGAATAAAAGGTTGTTGATAGGTAGTGATCTTTGCAGTGAGCAAAAAAGAATCTGTTTGGGTTTCTGATGTTGGTGCAAGCTAATTTATTGGTTATCGAATAGCATGCGTTAGTAAGGATCTTCTAAAGGATGGTTATACAGATCTTGTCTAGTAACTCTACAATGACAAAACTAATATAAAGCCACTTGAATTTGTTACATCAGTACTGAATCATAAAATATTTTTTCAAAAATATTTTTTGCAGTAGGACTGTATGAAATAAGAACAGGAATACTGTATATTAGGTGGGTAATATAGTAAGATATGCAGGCTTGAAGGTTGGGTTGTGGGTCCAATTGGCTTAAAGCCTTTAAGTTGGTTTGGTACTTATTTTATATTGTAGTGCACTTTTGTTTGTCCCAATCAAGATTCTCATTGAAAATAATTCCTAAGTATTTGTGGCTGTTAACTATTTTGGTAGGTATTGCTTCAATTTCAAAGAACATCAGATGATTTTACATTCAATGCTATTAAGTAATGAATTCACAATTTTTTGACAAAATCAAAAAATATTTTAAAATTAAGTTGTTATTATTTTTAGCATGAACCCATTTTCTGTAATTTGAAAAATAGCATTCATTGTAATATGTCTGGAAAAGAAACTATTTGATACCCATATGATATTATATTAAGTTGATAACAATGCGTTCAAAAACTTTGCATAATGCTATTGTAATGGTAATCAGGCATTAGTCATTAGAGAAGAGTCTGTAACATAATTTTAGATATGGTGCTATCTTTGCTGATTTACATCGGTCAAGTAGGTAACTGTTTTCTTTGAGGCAGTTAAATATATAGATACAGATACAGAGTGATGATGCAATTTTATTGAGAGCAGATTAGAGTAAAAGCAGAGAAATATCATCTGAAGATTACTGATCTTTAGTTTGCAGAGATAGTTGGGAATATTATTAAAAAAATGAGGGTAATAGGTGGATATGTTTCTCAGTTGGTTAAGAACAAGAGCTTTGGTTGTTTCAAGAGGTGAAGAACAAGAGGTTAGGTTGGGTTTACACAAGTAATTGTAAGTTTATTCTCTTGTTTAGACACCATGTTAAGCACATAGTTAATCAATAACTTTATTTGTTCTGTTTTTATCTGAGTATTTTTTATTTATAAGTAGAATACCTATGCAATCCTGATGTTCAGTCAGGGTGTTAGCCAGTTTGATGGCATGGAATTACTAATTGGTTTAAAATTTCTAAAGGTTCAAAAGATCATTAATATATATATATATATATATATATATATATATATATATATATATATATATATATATATATATATATATATATATATATATATATATATATATATATATATAAATTATCTTGCCACACTTCTTTTTATCCCAGAATATCAGGTTTATGTATTGCTAGATATTCAAATAATATTTTCTTCTTTCTCATTCAAACTTTTTTACAGCTTGAGAAAAAAAATTTAGACCAAAGTTGATGACCAATCTTGAAAACAAAGATGAGTGAAGATAAATAAATTTTGAAATATAAGGTTTAATAGTTAGCTTCTTTATGGTGACTATCCTGATAGAAAAGCTGTTTTATTCTTTAGAATCATTTATAATGGAAAAATATGTTCTCCTTAATAACACTTGCTGTTTAATTATTTTTAAAATTATTCTATAAAGATTATTTTAGGGTTAAAATTTTTCTAATAATATTTTTAGTTTTTAAAATTTTTAATTTTTTTTTTTATATTTAGATAAAACTAAACAAAATTAATATTGTTATTTTATTTGGTATAAAAATGGAATATAAAAAAATTGAATGAACAGTAACTAAAGAACTATGTGTAGTCAGTAGTTTAAGAACTATGTGTAGTCAGTAGTTAAAGAACTATGTGTTGTCAGTAGTTAAAGAACTATGTGTAGTCAGTAGTTAAAGAACTATGTGTAGTCAGTAGTTGAAGAACTATGTGTAGTCAGTAGTTAAAGAACTATGTGTAGTCAGTAGTTGAAGAACTATGTGTAGTCAGTAGTTAAAGAACTATGTGTAGTCAGTAGTTGAAGAACTATGTGTAGCCAGTAGTTAAAGAACTATGTGTAGTCAGTAGTTAAAGAACTATGTGTAGTCAGTAGTAAAAGAACTATGTGTAGTCAGTAGTTAAAGAACTATGAAAATAGAAATTGATAAAGAACAAAAAAACTTAAGAAGATAAAGATTGATAAAGAACAAAAAGAAAGATGAATAGGTGAAGAGATGCTAAGAAAATAAGATTAATCAAAGGATTTAAACCTCATTAATAATCAGTTAGTTTGATATTTAAGTATCGATTCATTTGATTGATGCAAAATAAGTTTATGTCTAAATTTAATTGTGTAAGTAATATGCCCAGGCCACACATGCCACTATTAGAGTCAGCTTAAATTAAATTAACAAAATAAATTAGTCTCACAAAAAGCAAGTAGGTTTAGTAAAATTTGTAATAGGCTTCAACCGAATAAAGGTTACTTCAGAAAGTATTTCTATAAGACACATTTGGTAGTAGTTATGGTTTTTTATGATTAGTATTTTTACCTACTTTAGATTTGTTATAAATTATATAAAGAATCTTATTCAAACATATATAGTACTAGTAACATGGTAATAAAACATTGTACTATTAACATGGTAATAGTAAATGGTACTATTAACATCTTAAGAAATAATCTTTAAGTTGTATATGATAGTTATTATGATATTAATATTTGAATTTTTTTTATTAAATAGAAGTTGCATAATTTATGAATGATCTCTAAGTTAAGAAGTTAAAAAAGTTACAATAGTATTTTACAATAAACAATATAATCTTACAATAAACAATCTAATTTTACAATAAACAATAGAATATTACAATAACCAATAGAATATTACAATAAACAATAGAATCCTACCAGAAACAAAAGAATCTTTAAATAAACAATAAAATGTTACAATATATTATCATTTGATAATAAAGTTATTGTAATGAAATTCATTTGTAGAGGAGAAACATATATTAAGCATATTAAAAAATTTTTTTTTTGTAAAGATAATTAAAAATAAGAAAGCTTAATTTATTATAATGTATATTAATTTATTATAATGTATATTAATATTATGCTTAATGCTATGCAAAAAAAAAAAAAAGCTTATAGCGAGATCTGGTACATTTTTTGTATAAACCTGCTTCTACTTGATCCAACAGTTTAAACTTGAAAACGGTTCTAAAGTTATTAATTGGCATAATCCACCTCTTCGCAGATCACCATCCAATGTACTAACACGTGATTTCACTTACAATAATGCTCGACATAATTTCTTCACAAATCGTATTGAGAATGATTGGAGTTATTTACCGTTGTCATGCAAAAAGGCTTCGTCAATTAACGCATTCAAAAGTATAATTGACAAGCATTTTTTTCCTACAGCTGCAAACAGTGCATCTTTTACTGAAGATGAGCTGCACCTTAAATTTAATTAATTCGTACTTTAGCAGCTACAAATATTGACTTTTTAGGTACATTTGTCATAAACGTAAATTCTTATTAAATGAGAGCAAAAAAATAAATAAATAAATAAATATCAAAAAAAAAAAAAAAAAAATGCTTTTGTTTTTTAATCTGTTTATTTGATTGTTTTTTATTTATTTGTCATGTAATCTATAAAGACTAATTTAAATATATTACTGTTACTTGGTGTCTTTTTGACATGAATTGGTATTTTTTGTAGTTTTTAGTTTTGATTTAGATATTTATATTGGTACATTACGTAAAAGCTAAAATTTACTGTAAAGTTTGTTTTTAAAAAATTTTGTTTAAAAAATTTCACCTTACAAAATATTACTTATTTTGCATCTTGCTTGAGATTATTAGTTAAATGCATTCACACAAATTTTTTTTATATAAACACGCATCTAAATAAAATTCAAAATTTTTAAAATGTCTATCCCTCCCTGTCATTTTCTTCTAAACCAGATCTTTATTTGATTTTTTTAAAATCTTTTAAATCAGATCCTTGTTGATTGAATTTTTTTATTCTTTTGTATTATTTTTAAGCAGAAATAGCTTATGCTATCCCAGAAGTCATTGCAATTTTTATCTTTATAATAATTGTATAAGAATGTTGAAAATTTTTTTGTATAAGAATGTTAAAATTGTTTTAATATAGAATAAATGAAAAAGCTAATGAAAATTTTCAATAATTTAATGATTCCAAAGCATTAGTTGTTGGTCATATGTAAAGCGTTAGTTGTTGGTCATATTACTGAGTCTTCATTGTGTTTATTCGATACTTTAAAGTTTATAAAGTTTTTTTTTTCTATTATACTTAATTTAATGATTAAACAATGCGTGGAAGAGAAGATTATTTATGTCAACTTGTTATTCTGAGTAGCAGCTTACCATTGTTTGCGTTTTGCAGTTTTGGAGTTAAGAGGGGGTTGTAACAACAGTTTAAAAAAAAGAGTCACCATAACTGTAGGGCTAGCTTGGCCTTTCGGTGATAAATACAATTAAAAAAAAGTTTAGCAAGAAGCATTTATTTATTAACTTAACAGGAGTACATTATTTTTGATGTTTTTTGTTAGTTGTTGTCTACTAGTAATAAAGTAATTTTTTTAGGTTTTGAAATTATTTGCAAAGAAATCGATTTATATACCGAGGTTAATGACAAATGTATATTTATGATTAAACTTTTAGTTGATCTAAATCCTGTCACAACAAGATTAGTAAGTTTGATGATATTAACTGTTTTAGTTGTTTTTCATTTAATGTTATTAGCTGTTTTAATTGTTTTCATTTTGTGAATTTGACATCAACAAAATATGAAAATAAAAAGTTTTTTATTGTTGATGCCAAATTCACAAAATGAATCTGTTTAACTCCAAATAAGTAAGTTTGAGCATATTTTGTCGAAAAGAATGAGTACATCAATGACTAACCTGTGCAAGCCACCCAATAGAGAGAATTGAGCAGCCTTCAAATTTAATCAATATTTTTTTGATTTTATATTATCAAGAACATCATGACAAATATAAACTTTTGATTTTATATTATCAAGAACATCATGACAAATATAAACTTTTGATTTTATATTATCAAGAACATCATGACAAATATAAACTTTCAATTTTATATTATCAAGAACATCGTGACAAATATAAACTTTTGATTTTTTATTATCAAGAACATTATGACAAATATAAACTTTTGATTTTATATTATCAAGAACATCATGACAAATATAAACTTTTGATTTCAACTAGACAGTTTTCTTAAATCAAAAGTTCATACACACATTTTTTCCTTTAACAACTTCAAATATTTATACTAATTTTAATAAAGGTTTAAAAAATTTTTTTTAGTTATTAGGTGAACAAAAATAATAAAACACTTTTGCATTTTTAATATGTTAGTAATAAAAAATTCAAAAAAAAAACTTTATCAAACTTTATGAAAAATATATTTTAGATTTAAGCTTAAAGTCATTTTCTTCTGAAAACCAAAACACCTTAACACTACATTCACCATGTTTTACAGTCAATAATACATATTATTTTATCATAAATTCATTAATTTTTTATTCCAGACAAACAATCTTATTTTGAAACCAAAGATTTAAAATTTCAACACACCAGCTCACGTTTAAAATCATTGATGGTCCATTTTTTATGTAGTTTTGCCTACTTTAAGAAGAAGAAATTGAAGAATAATAAATGAAAAGGTTGCTGCCCTATCCCAAAACACTTTAGGTATGTAGCAGCACTCCACTGCAAGTCAGGCTATTTGTCAGTGATGTATGTACTGAAGCCCCTGGCAGCAGGCTATTTCAGTATGACGTCACACTGCTCACCTAACTCAGCAGTATAAGATCAGTTTAATGAATAAAATTACTGCTTTTTTAAGTATTTGATGAATGTATATTTTGCCTCCATCATCAAATACATTAGTTTTTAGTATATAATGAATAAAATAAAAGTTGTAGCTAATAAAAAATTAGATAACATGCTTTTTATAAACATATCACAAAAATTTATAAATGTTGAGTTAAATTATGAAGTATAAATAAACCTAAAATATGAGCATTTAAAAAATGACGACAAAATACCAGCAAATGTGCTAAATTTTCATTTTTGGCATTTATTCTGGGAAACACCACTGTATTTAGATTAAATCATAGTGTATGGTATGTATAATAAACCATATAGTATGTATAAATATAAAATAAACCATAAAGTATGTGTATGATATAAGTTGTAGAGATTTTGTATCTAAAAAATTAAAAATGCCTACAAAAGCCAAAGCACTGACACTTTCAAAAAACAAGAGCTTTGAAGACCATTGGCCTACACATAGACTTTACTATTGCAAAAGCACCTTATGGAATTTGCATGAAATGCAGATTTCTTTTGAGCAATTGTGACAAAGGTGACAACAGCACTTTTCATCCAGCTCTATACGATTTCAAGTCTATCGCAATGAAACCACTGACAAGGGCAAGTCTTGTATGTGACTGCCTCATTTGCAGCATTGGGTGATTGCAACTAAATCAGCCTTATCCATTGTAAGCTGCCAGCTAACCCAGCACTTCCACAGTTCCATCCACACCAGCTGCATCTGCTGTGTAACAGTTTGTTAAATGCTTCACAGTTCTTCATCATGGATACCCACACAGTTGTACACCGAGAACCAAACATGCAAGTTTGCAAAAATCTGTTTAGTCAATGCTCTTGGAGCCCAATAAATTTCTTCTTCAGTTATCAAAAACACACCGTCCTCTTCTAGTGGAATTCAAAAATTAGACAGCTGACCTCTACACTGAATCAAGCTAGCGCAGGCAGAGTTGTTGAGCCTTACTTTTGCCAAAAATTTGCTATATAGGCAAAAATCTTGATGATGTTTTTACCATTTCCTTGATAAAATCCTTTGGAAAAACCGATACATAAACTGCCACAAGACAAGTTTTGCATTATATTGATGTAGAGGAACTTTGTTTAAAGATTGTTTTAGAGAGGAAAGTTTCAGCTAACCACAATGTGAAACTTAGCCTCGATGGAGGAGATTTTTTGATAAAATTGGTGTCTGCATTATTGATCACAACAAAGAAACAGAGAGCCTCGAGCAGAGAACATTGCAACTTGCATCAAAAACTCTTGCCAGAGATTTTGGAGTTAAGCGTTTACTCTTTGTTGCAATAGTTGAAGATGTTGCAAAAACTTACTTTAATGTCAAAAAACTGTTTGACCTCATTTAAGCAAACAAGCTCTAATTTATTATTAGGACTGATCTTAAACTTGCCAATATAGTATGTGGTATTCAATCACACAGCAGCAAGCATCCTTGCTGATGTGTGAAGCTGAATCAGGCAAACTCAGCAACATTGGAGCCTTAAGTGACATTAGATCTCTTAAAAGAGACTATCAAGCATTTGTCAGTTCAGTTTACAGTGAACAAGTAACAGAGGCTTTCCATTCTTATTTCAAGGTGCACTGGGAAAGATAAGAGACAACTTAGATACAAGAGGTTAGCTGCACTGGGAAAGATACAAGAGACCACTCTGAGTATGGTCATATTTTGCCCAAGTATGTTCTCAGCTACAATTGCAAGCACTTTTAAAGAAGAACAACAAGTCAAACCTTGCTCAATAATCACAAAACCATCAAGAAGTTATTAAAATATCTAAAGAATTATATTTGAAAAAAAAAAGTATTATGTAAAAAAGCTTTGTAAAATATTGTACATCATTTTGTCTCGGAGTAAATTTGTTTATGTACCTTGTGTTTCTTTTTTAATTTATTTTATTGGAATTATTAAAATCCTTTTTAGAAAATTGAACTTCAGCAAACATGTTTTTTTTTTCAAAGTTTCAGTGAAATATTGCTCATAGGTATACTTGAGAGAGGCACATATACATTAGTCAAATATTTAAAAAAGCTGTAATTTTATTCATCAAATTCAAAGGAAAATTTTCAGCTTAAATGTGTATATATATATATATATATATATATATATATATATATATATATATATATATATATATACACACACTTACACACACGCACACACACATAAAGCTATACTTGACTTTTATATATGTAAAGTATAACTATGGTATTGTAGTAATTATGCATAATTTTTATTATTTAGTGATATATATAATTGGTCCCTTGAAATTGTCTAACTGATTACTATTTAAGTTCTCCAGTTAAGTCAAATAATCAGATAACTTGAACTTCGTTAAGTCGAACCATTTTATTGTCCCCCTTCAGCAAATTTCTTCAGACTTTTTGTATGGGAAATAATGAAATCAAAATAACTTGATTAAATTTTTTTTTAAGAAGTCATTCCATATAAAAGTTAAATACTTTAAGGAAGACATTTTATTTCATTTTTTTACTAAATTTAAATATTATCTTTTAAGTGTACAGCGTGAATACTTGCTTTTTAAACTCAAAGTTTGTAACATGGCAACAATTGCAACCAAGCAAAAGTTGAATACAAAAACTGTTAAAGTCAAATACAATAAACTGAAGGAAGTATTAGATGGCATCTCAAAGTCAAAGGTTGCTTTAAAATATAATATACCAAAGAAAACCTTATCTATCTGATTAGGAAACAAGAAAAAGATTTTTTATGCTGTAGAGAAAGAAAACAACCCAAAACGTCAGCGTATGAGGAAAGAGTCATTTGCAAATTTGGATCAAGACATTTTCAAATGGTTTCTGATTGTTCGTAGCAGAGATGTCACTGTCTCTGCTTTAGTTCTCAAAACTAAAGCCATGGAATTTGTTGAAAGAATGAACATTACAATTTTCATGCTTCAGATGGTTGGTTTGACCTTTGGAAGAAACGATACAACGCATCATCTATAATGGGGTCTGGTGAAGCTGATTCTTGAAATGGTAGCACCATGGGAGGAAACCAAGTTACAAACCATTTTATCAAAATATAAGTTGAACCAGATTTATAATGCTGACGAATTTGGCATGGTAGCACCATAGGAGGAAACCAGGTTACCAACCATTTTATCAAAATATAAGTTAAACCAGATTTATAATGCTGACAAATTTGGCTCGTTTTATTGACTCCACCCAAATAAATCTTTACATTTAAAAAATGAAAAATGATTTACCCAGATAAATTACACAGATGCTTTAAAAATGCTTTGCATTTTTAAAGCATCTGGGTAATTTAGGTTGCCATCCATCCAAAAGTTGGATGGATGGCACACTTTTTGATGAATGGGTTTGTGAAATTGATCAGTAATTTACATAGGAAGGACTTAAAATTATTTTATTAGTTGATAATTGTACAGCTCATCCAATCATTGATAATCTCGAATCAATAGAACTAATCTTTTTACCACCAAATTTTAACTCTAAGCGATGGACTAGGGCATGATTAGGTCACTTAAAGCCCATTATAGAACACTATCTGTTCAAAAATTAATAGATGCAATAGAAAAAAAAAGCCTCTTACGAAATTTACTAATATGGATGCCATGCAAATGCTTGATGTTGCTTGGGGGGAGACTTTTTGCAATTGTTTTGCAAAACTTTTTATTACTGTAATAGTATATATTTAATGTTTATACTTTAGCAGTGAATAAATAAAAATTGCCTTAACTCAAACTATTATCTCATTTCTGTCAAAGTTCAACATAATGGAACTTCGCTTAAGTCAAACATTCGTTAAGTCAAACCATTTTTCTTGGTCCCTTGGAAGTTATCGGGAATTAACTGTATATATCAACCCTCGGAATTAGGAAAAATGAGGTCAGCAATAAATTGCTGACCTCAAACTGCTAGAGGTAGGAATAAGGTCGACAAAAAAAATCATAGAATATAACATCAAAAATTAATAGAATAATTATTTTCCGACATTTTATAGCAGTAGTTTTTTTTTAAGTTTTTTATAAAATGCTAGTGAATTTTGAAATCTAAAATTTACAATCTAAATCAATTTAAAATTCTGGTTCTTTTGAGAACCAGATTGAAATACTTTTAGCAAAAAAGTTTTTTACTGATTTAACCCAGCATGTGATGATGATCTTTTTCCAAAAGTAAAACCAATCAATTTAGTTTGAAACTTTGGAATATGATTTTCTTTTAAAATAATTTTTTTTTATAGAGTGCTAAGAATAAAGATGTTTATTTCCCAAACACAGAAAAGGATTATCTTGTTTATTGCAGCCTTTCTATTAAGGTATGTTTTTAAAAAAATTGTCAATTATAATGCAATTATAAAAGTTCTACTCATTAAATGTAAATCATGTCAAATATTGAAAGTTTCTAAAGCAATATATTCGAGAAAATTTCAGGCAGAAATATCTTGTTCAATTTACCAGGGCTGTAGACGTGTTTTCTTCAACTTAGCCAGGGAAAGTCAGGGAATCTACTTGATAAACTTTGTTTTTGTGAGTCAGAAAAAAAAAAGAAGTTTTATATTATTGTAATAGACTATTAATTAATATGTTAATTTTTTTTGTTCAGTTTTTGATTTCCAGTTTAAAAAAATTAAGCAAACTAGTCTAAAAAAGTAAAGCGCAGTTTCAAGAAAGTTGATTGTTTTCTGCGTTCAGTATATGGATATGTAAAGCATCAGTGGACACTCAGGCATTATGCAAACTTTGAAAAATTAATACATCATTGAATTACATAAACATTGTTAGCAATCAAACACCTTAATCCAGAAACTAATTAAAAAAGTGGAAGTCTTTGTATTAGAATGGCTTGCTTAGTCTTAGGATAATCTTAACAAGATAAGTAACAAAATTAAAGTATTTGGATTCAATGTTTTTTGGACATGCCACTGCAACAGACTTACTCAAGCAAATGTTGTTAATCTGCTTCAGATCTAAACAGATCTAAACAGAGAACTTGTTGGTTGGTCAACAGGTTTTCAGGATAATGTTGTTAGACAGAAACTGGCTTATGTAAACTAATAAACAAGGTTATACAAGATGTAAAGATAACAACCTTTATGCGATTTATAGCCTTCCAATACAAATACCACACCTTTAGGATAGGAAAGTGATATGGTTAGAAAAATTTTTAGCTTATTGTCTATTAAAAAAGCTGTGTCCTTAAAAAAAGGAGTTGATGACGAGTTGCTTGTAGCATGGCTTTTATTTTTCTGCTATGTCTTACAAAGTATTAAATAAATGATCCAGTGTATGAGATTATTAGTTTAAGGAAATAGTTAAAAAAGGAAAATTTAATAATGTATTAAAATTAGAATTTTAGTAAATGCAAATTATGATTTGAAAGAGAAAAGATTAAAAAATGATTAGAAAGTAATTTTTTTTTTATGTCTGTATTTTTTTTTATTTTAGCTGGGATTTTTTCTTTATAAAACAAAACTTTTTTTAAAGATTTTTAAAAACTCTATATTTGATTTATAATACAGGTGTTAAAATATTTTTCTTCAAAGTGAAGAGCACTTGTGTATGTAAAATATTTTTTTCCAAAATCAGTTGTTGTAAGGTATTAATAAATGTCATATGTAATAATATCTCAACATTTATGGTCACCAACTCAATGGTAGCAATTTTTTATGGAAACCTGATATAGTTATCATTAAGTGTAGCTATCAGTAACAAAAGAACAAATTTTTTGAAAGAGTTGGGAAAAAAGTTAATTTTTTAAAAAAATTTAGGGAAACTACATATGTTTTAAAATTAAAGTCGGAGAAACTAGATCAGGACTGGGTTAAGATCATGATCACCCTGCTGCTGACAGCATATAGTCTTGCACAATCTGCCTCATTTCATGGTGCTTTGTAGAATTTGCTTTTCTGGAAAAAAGCTAGGCGGATGGATATCTCAGATATTATATGTTTGTGTTCTGTTTGAATCTTTGGTGTGGTGTTAGCAAAATGGCTGACTTGTGACTACAACCATTTAACGCAACATTTATCTTTTTCTGTTCAATTTTCTGTATCCCTTTATAAAAATGTTTTTTCAAATGTATATTCAAAATTTTTTGAACAATTTTAGAATACGGCTTCAAAAGTAAGTAACATCTTTTAGCCACTTCAGGTCAGGTTCATAATCATCATGATCACCTTGTTAATGGTAACATTTAATACAGTAAAACCTGTCTATGTCCTTAAAGGGTTTACTTTTCTAGGCAAAAGAAATACGCTCTAACTTTAAATTTTCCTGCTTTGGGGCTTTTCGTTGAGAAAAAGAAAAAATTGTTGTCTTGATGAAAATACTTTTGTTGTGCGAATGTAAGCTGTATCTAGCTGCTGTCTTGTGACAGGCCTCCAAAACAAATACTTTAATGGTAAGCAAAAATATTCTGTTGACCAGCCTTGCACCCCTTCTTTCTCTTCTAGGCTTACATAAATGTAACTCTGTATTTAATTTTTTACTTCCTAATTATGAATGCTCGATATTCTTGACTTAACTACAAAATTAAACAACAAAAAAAGGTTTTTGTTTGTGCTTCTAGAGTACCTAAAAATATTAAACATAAAAAACCATCACCACATTGAATTGTTTTTATCATTTACAAACATTGTGGTCTTTGAAGAAACATTCCATCAGTTGAATCTTGCCGTTTGCAAAGTTCACCAGACTTACCAGACTTACCAGAGATTAATTTAAATTCAACTGTTTCATCTTCAGAGATCAGTGTCAATGGCTATTGTCCCTTAATTTCCAAAGATTTCAATATTGACATGCCTAGCCTTGACATAAAATTATGCATTAATTCAAATATTTGTTATGAAATCAGGTTTGAATCCTATGACCATAATTTATGTACTTTCATTTAGCAAATCTTTACTTAATCACTTTTCTCTTTGTTCTTTATTGTTGTTCTTCTTCTACTCAAGACTGAATAATTTTTAATGTTATTTATGATCAAATCAACTAAGCCTTAAGCCAATATTTTTATGATTGGTGACTTAAATGTTTATTACACTAAATAGCTTAGCTCAAGCATCTCTGACCCTGCCTGCACTAAAGCTCATAATTTTTTTATTTTTCAATCTTCTACTTAGGTTAACCTTCCCACTCAAATTGTCTCTTAATCAGTTAACTTTGTATCTTGTTTTCTAAACAATCCTAATACTTGACTTCACTCTGTGGTTTGCATCTTGTCTTTGACCCTAGCTTGCATTCAGTTTCTTTGTTCTCCTTCAGGTGGTTGGATTGGGTTGCTTTTTAAATATTTTATTTTGCTCTTCTTCTTCAGACTTTTTGTTTTTCTTTTTGTTTATTTCATGACAGTCTAATATCTTTTGTCTCTCTCCTGGTATTTGCTCTTCCTTACTTAAAGGTTACTCTAACATTCCATCTCTAATACTGATCTTACTACCCATCTGATTTTATAAATATTCACAAAGATTTGGTAGAAGCAATTTCATATTCCCCGCACAAACTTATGATATATGATCAAGTGGTGCACATGTTTTGAGTGCAAAAACATGATTAGGATCATTAGCAATAGAAAGTTCAGGTCATTCATCGACACAGTTTCAAAAAATTAAATAGCTTATAAGTTGACAAGGTGATGATTATGAATGCAGCAATAGAATAATTTTTATGGTTTATCACATATATAAACTTTTTTTATATACTTATTTACCTAAATTTTTTTATATACTTATTTATCTCTCTAACATGTCTTTTCATACATTTTTCTCATAGATTCATTTAATTTTTCAGGCACAACCAAGACTAGGAATATGCAGTACAGGTGTAATAACTACATTACAAGTTCCTTATCCAGGTTAAATTTTCGTATATTTCTAATTTTGTTATGACTTGAATTATTCATGTAAAGTATAAATATTTTTTTCTAGCTATTGTACTATAATGATTTTATAGACCATTGGTTTATAAAGTATTCTACACTTTAAACTATTTTTGAATAAATTATAAGATATTATAATTTTATATTTATAATATTATGTTTAATTTTTTAATAAAATGCATTTTATAACTTTATATGATATGCACATTAATTTTAAATTCCACTTCATTGTCAAAAACTTCATTACAATTTAACAAAAATTGAATAGATGAGCAGCAAAAATTCTATCCTGGTTTACAGTCTAAATTTTTTTACTTTAAGTTTTGAAAAAATTTAAGAGAACTGTTTGTTTGACCTAAAATAAAATTATTTTTTATATTAAATTTTAACCTTAATTAGTAAACACTTTCAAATCAAAAGTTCCATAAAATGTTTAAACAAAAACACAAATATAAGTTAGAACGGCATGGTGAATATGAAATCTATTTTACAGACACATAGATATATGTTTTTTTGGTTCTTGTTTTTTCAGTTTTGTTGATCATTTTATTGAAAAAAAAAGTAGGGGTTCGTTGTTTTGTTTTTTTTAGGAAATAATATTTTTTAAAAAAAACAAAACAACAGTAAACAATAAAAGTGTTTACTAATTAAGGTTAAAATATTAAAATAAAAAATAATTTTAATTTTATTTTATATATTATATAAAAATTTAAAGATATATAAAGATTTAAATAGGACAATTAATACTGAAATTTACTGAAATTCTTTTTATTTTTGCATGGTTAAAGGTTAACACGGTTGGAGCAGTTGTGTATAAAATCTCGGATAATTTTATCTTCCTCAATTTTATCTTAATTGGTTTTAGTTAAACTTGTCTTTAGGGTACCTAAGGATAATGCAAATAAAAAAAAAAATTAATATTTTACGTCTGGAGTTAGCGTATTGCGCTTGAACAACCGAAGAAATTACCCTTTTTTTTAATTTTCTAACAAATGAAATGAAATTGAATTATTTCTTCAACAAATATCTAGAGATAATATAAGTAGAAAAAAGTGTAAATAGAGTGGTAAATAAGAAATCTTTTTTTTATTTTATTAAAAAATCATCTTTTCGACATCTCTGGAATTGAAGCCAGCTACTTTTTGTGAAGCCTCTGTTACAAGCTTTACGCATTGTTCTACTGCTTGGGTGTGACATGGAAACTTTTCAAAGTTGCACTCAGCAGCTGTTTTACCTGATTGGATCTTTGACCAAATATCTTTATCTGAAACTCTTCACAACAAAGGTGGTGGCAAAAGCGTAGTAGCAAAGCGTAGCAATGAAATTAATTTTAGGTGGTTGAAAACCCCTGATAAACTTTCTTTGAGAAGCTAGGCCTCTTACCTTTATAATTCTTCTTAAACCCAATTCCCTAATATGACCCTGTTTGTCTACTACCATTGTTAAAAGCAAGATTTCTGAATGTGCAAAATAAGTATTTCTCTCAATTACTGGGTCTGTTACTTTTAGCAAATCATTGGGCAGGAATCTTAAGGATTTTATCATTACAAATACATGTTCTGCTCCATTTGTAAAGTATTTCCTTTTTTTTTTTATATGAAACCATCGAGGGACATAAGATTTTAAAAGAAAAGAAATTAATATTTTGTGCTCCTCTGTTGGGGTTTCAAGAATACAATTAAAAAACTCAAATACGATTGTAATACTCTGTTTGCAATTGTTAACCACCTTGAGTGTGATATTGTTCCAGGTTCACGAACATATAAATCTTCAGAATAACTGCCTGATTTAATAGCAGAGCTTATATTCATCAAGAACTGCTGATCTTTGCTTAAAAATTTGCGGTCAATTTTTGGAATTTCACAATCAACACTGACAAAATCTACCACTGGTAATTTCTCACAATTGTTAAGCTGAGCGCCAATTGGACCGCTATATGATTTTGGGCCAGGCGTTTCTCCGTCTAACGTTTAAAATAAATGCCGGAATGGCATTTTGTTGAAGTTTAAAAGACAAATCCCCCATTGCAGTGGTCTTTTTACATATTTTTCAATTGTGGGAATAACACCGGATTTCTATCCCGTGTTAGAAACAGTGACATCGCATCCGATTATGTCCAGTTCATGAAATGAAAATCAAGCTTTATTCAAATATGAAATAATGCTTCTGGCAATGTTTTCAGCAGACCCAGAAGTTGGTGAAACATACACAAAACCTGTTCTTGTAAAGTTAAGTAATGTTCCTCTTTTATGGTTTGTCAAAAAAATTTGAAACATAAGAAAACTTAACTGGCTTGTTGTTTGATTTCAAAGATAGTTTGTAATCTTCATAAAAACAATATTGAGAACTACTTCATAAGTTGGAAGTTTATTTACAGATAATTCTATTGGATGACAAAAAATTGGGCAGTTAAATTTACTACAAGTAATTTTTTTAAAAATAGCTACGACAGATTGGTTAATATTATAAAATGATCAAAACAAAATTATATCAAAACAAGTTGTTGTGGCGAGAAACAAACCAATTTTGCAGCGCATTTTGGGAATACTCTAATGCAAACTTTATAACGAAAATGATAAATATATATATATATATATATATATATATATATATATATATATATATATATATATATATATATATATATATATATATATATATCTGTGACTGTTCCTAAACGCTCCAAAAACTCTTATTTGTCTAGTCTTTTTCTTTGAACATCAGTTCTTTTGAATTTGCTTTCTTCATCTTGCTTTTATGATTTATATATATTGCAGTCCATTAAGTCATCTGTCAATCATATACATATATATATACATATATATGTATATACATATATATATATATATATATATACATATATATATATACATATATATATATATATATATATATATATATATATATATATATATATATATATATATATATATATAATATATATATATATATATATATATATATATATATATATATATATATATATATATATATATATATATATATATATATATATATATATATATATATTTAAACAATTTAAAATGTATTCTACGAAAAGAGTGCTTAATGTTCTTAAAAGAACAGAGCAATTACAAATTAGTAGAAAATCACTTAGCAAAATTTTTTCTCATTTAACACTGTGTTTCATCCATAAAGCATTTCTGATGAGTCTTTATTGATGAAACACAGTGTTAAATGAGAAAAAATTTTGCTAAGTGATTTTCTACTAACTTATATACATATATATATATATATATATATATATATATATATATATATATATATATATATATATATATATATATATATATATATATATATATATATATATATATATATATATATATATATATATATATATATATATATATATACATATATATATATATATACATATATATATATATATATATATATATATATATATATATATATATATATATATATATATATATATATATATATATATATATATATATATATATATATATTATTCTGATTTGCTTACAACAAGCTTGCAACCAACAACTATTAAGTCGAGTTAAAAAAGAAAAAAAAAAAGGTTGCATTTTGACATTTCAAAAAGAAGATAAATTTGACATTTTTTAAATACAAATAATTTTTGACTAGGTTATATTCAAAGCAGGTATATTTTTCTATTTTATAAATGTTTAATTATAATTATTCAACTTGTTTCATTCTCAGCAATCTTCTTAAGTTTTCATTTTTCAATTGCTTTTCTTCTTTGTTTGATATAGTAGAGAAAATCAAGAACAAAAGTCAACTTTTTAATTGACAACTGTCGATAAAAACACAATATATTATATGTAGGGTTGCTAAATGACCGGCTTTTATGAAGGAAAACACATTAAAACAGGTTTGGTGCTGTATTCTCCATAAAAGCCAGACGTCTGTCAACCCTAATTATATGGAAAGTTTTTGAATGTTCAAGTTTTCAAATACAAAAGTACTTGAATATTCAAAAATGTTCTGAAATAAAATAAAACTAATGTTTTCAAACTTTTTTAAACATAGATATTCGTAATTTTGTTCATTTAATTTTATATTATAATTTTTATCATTAAATAAATTTAAAAGTTAAAAAAAAAATTTAAATTGATAGTTTTTAAACTAGAAAGTTTTTGAAAGCTCGATAACATTTTAATTAAGAAACTTGGTTTGCTTGCTGATTTCTGTCAAATAGAATGTTTGTTAAAAGAACTCATCTTGCAATATGCTACTTTAGTTAATTTAATTTAAATTAGTAACAAAGACGTTTAAGGGCAGAGTGAGGTTCTTCCACCACACAAGGGCAGCAACTAAATTTAATTAGCAAATTTAAATATTCAGTATACTAGGTATTTAAATAAAAAAATCCCCTATTTTACACGAAAGTCAGTCTTTGTATGGTAAAGTTCAAAACAATAAGTAGGATGTTGTCCTGGTTTTCTAGTGCAAGTTTTACAATAGTATACAGTTTTTTTTCTACCATCCTGTGTTTTTTTCTTCCTGTGTTTCAATAATTTTACATATTGAAAAATCTTAACAAGAGAATGACTGATTTAAAATTAAAAATTAAAAAAAAAAAAGATTTTAAAACTTTTGAATGAGTGATTCAAAAGTTATCCTTGTTAACGCTTTTTTACACTTTAAAAATAATCGATCAACTTAATTCATTTCTTTTTCATGGGTACTAATTGCGTTTTTTACACTTCCAACGTGACACTTTAACCTTCACAAGTAAAATGTTTACATTTTTATTTTTTCTTTCTTGTTTAGTGCTTGCACTTAAGTCATAGTGTTTTTGGCAGAATGAAAATTATACAATTTAGTGCTACACTTTTAAAGACCTCAAAGGGTTAAATCTAAAACTGATTTAATTTTTTTTTACTATGATCTTATGAACCTTTAAGAATTTTAAAACAGTTAGGAATACTGAGTTATATTTATTTATGTATAATATAAGATAATATTAAATAAATTAATAATAAGTGTGTATATATAAACACACAGACCCCTATGCTTGTTTCCAAAACATGCTTGAGGGGGCAACCAACTTCATTGCTTCCTCATGCATGAGGGGCAATGAACTTCTGCCAAAAAGTATAAGCAGAAGTTGGCTGTGACCATTGTAATGTCAGTTAACTATATTTAAAAAACTGCTATTAATTTATATTGATAAATTAAAATGACACTATTTGTACTAAAAAATCAAAATTACAATCATGTTGAAAAATCAGGTACAAAAAGGCATTAACCAAAACAGACAAAGATGGTGATTTTTTATCAATATTTGTATCCATTTTATAAATTTCCTTGATATCAACTTTTACTTTGTTCGCAGGTTTATAATAGTCAGAGCTTGGCATATCAAATGACAGAATTGTTGATGCAGTTTTTGCTTTCTCCTCTAATGTTAACTCGTCATCAGCTAGAGGTATTATGGTTGAATCCAAATGCCAACAATGCTTATACTGAGACTCTATAACAGCATCAAAATCTTTTGGGTTTGTACATACATTCTTGTACAGATGTGTTTGATGTATCGCCATAAGATCAAGAAACAAAGCTTTAATAACATTCTCGGATATGCATAAAAGATAACAATAAATTTTTAATTTCAGTTTACAGTTCATCATTTTCTTTAAAAATGCAGGTTGATTGGGTAGAAGTTAAAGCTTTTGATAATAAATTTTTTTTCCTAAAATTCTTGCATGATAAATAGCACCAGTTTTCTTACTTTATATGTATATTTGGGATCAATAAGTTACAACTAATTCTGCAAGCTCACTTCTATCATACCAATTAAACATTTCAACATTAACAACATAAGCTCTGCAAAATGTCAATGACTTATTAGCTGCTTTTTTTAAAATACAGCTTTTAACCTTATTCCAATCAAATCGTAACAGTTGAACTGGATTACAATTAAAATTAGGTTCTTCAAAAATATTTTTTAGGTTTTTGAAAAAAGGATTATCAGGTCCGTTAGTTTTTTCATTTGTCACTATTTTCCAAAAATAAAGCATCCTTATTTCAGTCACCTGATGCCTACAGGCTATTTGGAGAAGATACTTATCCATATTATATTTTAGAATTTCTGGAAACTGATCCTTTATTTGTCCCAGAGTTAGATAATGTTGAACCAAAGCATATTTCTCTAGTTTTGACATAAGTTGATACTTAAATAAATTCATTACACCTAAGAACAGATCTTCACCAGTGGATGATGTTAGCAGAGGTACTTTAAGTAGGTAAGTCTCTCCATTAATGCTAACTAAAACAGCCATTCTATCCCTCTTTAATACTTTTTCTTTGTTTAGCTCAAACAAGATCTTGCCATCAAAATGAATTGTATTATACATGGATATAGAGATGCATAAATGGCTACCTCAATATCATCTTTTTAATGATTAACATTTTTTCATTTCCTTTTTTCATTTTTCTATAAGCAGTAGACTGGCTGCTTTTAACTTCTTTAAGATCAACACCTGATTGGTATAGAATTGCATTTATTACCTCCTGTAACATTTGTTGATATATCACAGGCTGTAGCAGTAAGTGAAACATCACTGGCATAAATATCTTTTTGAATTTTTGCAGTTACTGTATCTGGGTTTTCAGAGACCTCTATGTGATCAATCACTTTCATTCACTTGGATTGAAATCAGATTCGATTTAAGAATCCTTACGTAGAATTGTGTCTATGAGATAACTGTTGGGTATATTATCTATCAAACTTGTTGGCTTGAACAATTTTTTTTTCTCATACTTTCTTTTGCCTTATTTGCAGAAAAATTGTAGCTTTTTAATTTTAGAATTAGTAAAAAAAAGAATAAATTAACAGAGGTTAAACCAGAGCTAAGTTATCTTTTTTTTATACTTAACTTATTTAAAAATTATTTAACTTAAAAAGGTTAAACCAGAGATAAATTATTATATATATATATATATATATATATATATATATATATATATATATATATATATATATATATATATATATATATATATATACACACACACACACATATATATATATATATATATATATATATATATATATATATATATATATATATATATATATATATATATATATGTATTTGGAAAGAAGTGTTTGTTTAATGGTGAAAAGTTAAAAAAAAAGTTTTATGAAGAAAAAGTTAATCAAAAAACATTTTGGTAATAAAAGTTTAGAAAATAAGTGTATAATCAAGAATAAAGGATTTAAATAAATAAAAATAATAAACAAGAAAAAAAAAACCGAAACAAATAAAAACAAAGTTTTAAGAAAATAGTCTCCAAAAATGGAAAATAATTTTTGCTGCCGCCAATATTTTATGGAAAGAAAAGAAAAAAAAACAATTTTAATTAATTTTGTACATAGTTTATAAGTCGTGTATTTATGCATATAAAAATTGCTGAATGCATTTTTTTGCATTTTTCTCTGTCAATTTAGTTGTTTTTGTTTTTTCTATATCTTTACTATTGTTTTATTGATATTTACTTTTGTTTAGTTAATCTATATAAGATGTAATATAGGTTTTAATACTGTATGTAGTAGTGTATGTATATACTTTTTTTTTATTTAAGTTTGCCTTTATTTTGGTTTTTTATATTTTTCAGCAAAATTTTTTTTGTCTCACTCTATCCTTCTAAACTTATGTAATTAAAATTTTTGTTTTCTCTTACATTTTTTTCTCACTCATCTTATCTCATCCGTTCATTCTCTCTTTTTTTTTCTTTTTTTTTAGCCTTACTCCTTCATATTTTTGTTCTGATTCCAACTTTTTTAATATTGTTGTTCCTATTACTTCTTTTTTTATTACTTGTATTAATGTAGTTTACTTTCTTTTTTATGTCCTTGTTTTAATATTTTTTTGTTTATTTTATTTGTTTATTTTATTAAGGTGTCACTCCATTGGCTAGTTTTTAACTATATGAGTGACACCAAACCTAACTTTGTAAATTATAATTAAATTTGTAATTTTTAATTTTATGGTTAAATAAGTGGATATATATATATATATATATATATATATACATATATATATATATATATATATATATATATATATATATATATATATATATATATATATATATACATAAATATATATATATATATATATATATATATATATATATATATATATATATATATATATATATATACATATATATATATATATATATATATATATATATATATATATATATATATATATATATATATATATATATATATATATATATATATATATATATATAAATATACATTTCTCGCATGAACTTTTCTACAGCTTGTGGTCTGGACAACATTTATGTCACTATCTTACTAAAGTGTTTACCAGGATTCTTTTTTTTTCTAAACTGTATAAAAAAAGTTTAACTGAACCTTGTTTTCTTGCCTGTCAGAAAATAGAACCATTTTTGTTTCTATTTTGTTGAGATTGTTCTGATCCTTTTACTATTGTTTGTTTTATTACTATTAGTCTTAATATTTTTGTGTCTTTAAACAACAAATTAATTTAATTATTATTTCATCTTTAGTCTAACAATTTTCTCATTAACAATCAATATGGATTTTATAAATTTTTTATCTTCTACTGCTGTTTTTTTAATCAATTTTGAAAGAAAGGATTTCTTGTGTGTTAAATAATCTCAGTTTCTGCTCAATTTTGCTATTATCTCTTTTTAGATTATTCAAAATTTAGATCCTGCCTGACTTGTGTTTCAGCTCACTATTTTGTTGTGCTTTGAAGTCATCTTTTTTTACTGTAATTATTTCTTTATGTTCGAAATGCTCATTAATGCTTTGGTATTTTTTTTTTGTCTTCATGTTTTGTCACTCATTCATTTTTTCAAGTCATCGATTTTTAAGTCATTTTTTTAAAATTTTATCAAGATGAAGTCTTTCATCAATCATTAGCATCAAGTTTTCCATCAACGTTTTCTTGCTCTTTAACTATTTTTTCTTCTGTTAATTTAAGTAATGGTTGCTTGTAGCCTTGTTAAGAGTGAATTTGTTAGAAAAGAGTTTATAAGTACTAACAACAAGAATTATAAAAATTTTTGAGAAATTTTTAATAAGGTTCTTGCATCTCACTAAGTTTTTTCTCAGCTTTTAACCAATAAATTAAATGTAAAGTTATATTTTTTTTGTAAATACTACATTTTACTGTTATTTTAAAAAAATCTTTTGACAAATCTTTTGAAATAATTTTTTTAAATCCATTTAAGACATTTTACTATTTCAAATGTGCAATAAATGCGATATAAAATTTGTTTTACGTTTTTTCCTGACAATATTTCATGTTATATATTTATCTTTTTTAGGTTGTTCAAATATTCCTAAATATGCACAAGAATATTGTGATAAGTCTTCAAGTAATTTTTTTTTTTTATTTATTTTATTAAAACTTTAATTATTTAAATAAATATGTTATTATTGTTTAAATATTGTGTAATTTTTTAACTAAGTTAAAATTGTTCCATAATAAAAGTTATGAAAATAAAAAAATTATCATATTTTATAGTTTGTATATTTTAATAAAAACTTTACTCTTAGGGTATAGATATTACTTAAATCTTCATTAAAAATAAATCTCCATAAAAATATTTCTACTTTCATTACCGCCAAAGAAAATACTGAAAATGAAACCAAAAAGAGTGTTCTTAAAATTTTGACAGTTTTTTAGATTTTTAAAGTTAATAATTACTAGTCATGTTGCATACTTTTAGCATTTTAAATATAGGCTAATATACCTCAGGATTCTAATTTTTTTAAATACAGGCTAGTATACTTCAGGATTCTAATTTTTTTGAATACAGGCTTATATATCTCAGGATTCTAATTTTTTTAAATACAGGCTAATATACCTCAGGATTCTAATTTTTTTAAATACAGGCTAATATACCTCAGGATTCTAATTTTTTAAAATACAGGCTAATTTACCTCAGGATTCAGCCATGTATAGAATTTTGTGTTACATTAGGTGTGCTTATTTCTAAAATTGGCGCAGAAAGTTTTAAATGCAATGTGCCCTCTTTTTATTAAAGAGTTGCAGCTGTCCTATCAATGCAACTGTTGCAGTTATAATGTCTGTTACAAGTTTCAACATATAAATTATTGTGTGTAAATTTTTAAACAAGAAATTCATAAAAAATAATCTAGACTTTTTTTTGTGATTATAAGGTTAGCAATAGCAGCACAATATTGATTATTATTTAACAACAGTCTAACTAAATTTTCTTCGTCAATTAACACTTGAATATCTTTCTCATAATTTAATGAGACTTCTAAAAACTGATCTAAAGCAGATTATAATCAGCTAAAGTTTTACCACTCCGATTAATTATAGATAAAGTTGGAAAATGAGTTGCTTGCTCGGCAAGTATAACTAACATTAAAAGGTAGAGGTAGTTCTCCATTACGAAATTTTCAAAGGCATTCTAAAGTTATATGGAAAACATGTTGCCTAATTTATTTGGGAATTCAATAGCTTTATTTAACGTATTTCAATGTCATCTTGCAATAAACCTAAATGTGAACATTAAATGTGTTAAAAGCTCTACCATCCTTAAATGTATTTTAAAGTGTACAAATACATTGCACAGTTGTTTATTTTAGTTAATCATATTAACACTGCTTGCTCTGTGCCTTCTAATTTTTTGTAACAAGTATGTTATCAATAATAATATCTCTAAGATGACCTTTAAAATAAAAGTATTGAAAATTTTAAAAAATAAGAATTCTGTGTGGTTTATTTGAAACAGCATAGGTACATTTAATCTTGAAAATACAACAGGTAAATTTATTTCATCTCTTTAAAAGTTAATGTTTCTTTTAGTTAAACTAAATGAAATAAAATTCATTAAATGCTAAGTACTTTGAATGAATAGTTGAATTGTTAACTTGAAAAAGGAGACATTTCGCATTTTTTTTCGAAATGGAGATTATTATATTAATATAAAGTATTTCTATGAGGATAAAATGAACTATAAATAAAAAAGCATAAAATTAGATTAAAAAGGAAACCTCTTGATCATATTTAAACAAATTAATCAGCAAGGTAAAAATATTGTGTACTAAAAAAAAAACTGTAAAAAGAGCAGGACATGTCTGGAACATATCCTGTTTTTAAAGTAAAAATAGATAAATTTATGGATTTATAAAAATAGCATCATGAGCAGCACTGTATTTTATGTCAGAAGTGTCAAGGTCAAACTTTATAAACACTTTAAATACTGATTTATCTGGTTTATCATAACAATTTGTGTTTTTTTAATTCTTTATATTTTATTAGTATTAGTACAGACAGTCAAAGTAATTCTCATAGGAACAAAAGAAAGAAAGGTGTTATTAATAGTCACATGTATATAAAAAATTTAAAAATTATTAAAAAACTAAATTGTCAGGAAAAGATCATAAAAATTATGTTGAAAAAATTGTTTTTGCCAAACAAGTAGTTACAATCAATAGGTAAGTGTTGTGTTTTGTTTAATTTTTAAATAAAACTGTTTATTCTTGTAAAGGTTTTCTAACCTTACTTTTTTATTGCAGTTTCAACAAAAAGTTTAAAAAATTGTTAATAGTTTCTACAATATTCCTTCAAAAAATGAATTTACATTTACAATGGATGATAGAGTTAAAATCTTTAAGTCGTAAAAAAGTGAGGACTCAAACACCTTAACTTTTGAAAAAGCTAAAATCAATGACTATAAAATACCATTTTCTCCTTGATGAAAAGTTGTTTGTAAGAAATGTTTTGTATTTGCTTATTTCAAAAAAAAAGAATCTAAAGGCTTGCTGAACTGATACTAATGAAAATTCTCTTGATAGATGTGGAAAGCATGGAAACAGAAGCAATCTCCATGAGCATTCATGAGCTCATAGAATCTTTTCCTACACATGATTCTCCCTACCTTGGAAAAATTATAAAACATCATGGTGCTGATCTTTTAGTAAAAACTATGTACAAAATGTATAAAACAAAATATCCTGATAGATTTAATTTTTCTTATAATTTTTTTTTTTTTGAACTTTTAATGAAAATTTTAATTTGAGATTTGTAAGGCCAGCGAAGCTGTGGTCAGTGTGAAGAACTTAATTGAAAAATTAAAAGCAGTTCTCTTAATGAGAAAGTTAAAAAAAACAGCTGTACCCAAATTACTTGAGCACACTTGTTGAGCAAAAAAAGTTTATAAATTTCTTAAATTATTCAAGGAGATTTGCTCTACAGATGACTCAGTTGCTGGCATATCTATTGACTTTATGGCTCATATGAATGTATCACTACCAACCATCCCCATACAGGATTTGTACTCTTTCAACTTACAAAGTCAACTTACCATCAATACTTTTGGTATTCATGTTATTAAATCAGAAATTATGATATGCTACACTTATTGCAAGCTTGATGGGCACAAAGGCCCAAACAAGGTTTGCAGTTTCATATATGGCTATTTACAGAATTTTGTTAATCCAAGCGTGAAAAAACTATACGTTTTTGCTGATAACTGTGGGGGCCAGAACAAAAACCACATAATTCTGCACTTTTTTATGGTCTCGGTAGATTTAGGAAAATTTGACAAGATAATATTAAATTTCCCTCTTAGAGGTCACATTTGCATGACTTGCAATAGAGATTTTGGATTGATAAGGAAAAATGTCTAACTGAAAGATTTTATACTTTATTTCAATACAAGTCTCTAATTCTTCAATCATCAAAGTGCCATAAGTTTAAAGTACAGGAAGTTGATATAAGCAATATAATTGATTATAAACATAGTGGTCTAATTACTATAAAAGGCAGACTTTTAATAATGGCTATTATGGTAGGTCAACTACTTTTAAAACAAAATTTGCAATTTCTTCTTTCCATCAATTTTACATGAACAATCAAACACCAAGTGAAGTTTCATTGATGGCATTATTGAAAAAAAATTGACTTGATAAAAAGAAAGGCTCATGATCTACGCCAACATCGAAGGCTTATTCATCCAAGGCTTATTCATCGAAGGCTTATTCATCGAAGGCTTATTCATTGAAGGCTTATTCATTGAAGGCTTATTCATCGAAGGCTTATTCATTGAAGGCTTATTCATCGAAGGCTTATTCATCGAAGGCTTATTCATCGAAGGCCTATTCATCGAAGGCTTATTCATCGAAGGCTTATTCATCGAAGGCTTATTCATCGAAGGCTTATTCATCGAAGGCTTATTCATCAAAGGCTTATTCAGAAAAATTTCCAACCCTTGCTTCTAAGATGGAAAATTTTAGAAAAAAAAATAAATTGATACTTGCTGAATTTTTTACCCATTTGGGAACCCATTTTGGAACTTTCAACTAGACGGGGAAGTAATATAGAAGTTGTTTTTAAAAAAAGCCGAAAAAACTGAGCCGAAAGAACTAAGTATCAAATGACTTTTTTTGTTTCAGAAATTTGAACTTTATTGGTAATTCTTAAATTTTTTTTGTTTTGTTTCTTTATTAAAACATATTTCATTAATACTACTTTTTAGTTATTACTTACCTAATAATTTATCATTAATGCAAAAATCAACATGTTAACTGAAAAGAGAATACATGTCCCAAATCGAAATTTTTTTTTTTTAGGGACCAATAATGAATTTGAACTTTTTTTTTTAATACTCTATATAAGACACTATACCATAAACTAAAAACAACTATCTTAAACTTGAAGCATTCTTTGCCTAAAATACATTTTTTATAAGCTTCTGATAAAAATACTTTTTGTGACTTTATTTTTTCACTATTAAAAGATTAAGTTAGATAACAACAATGTTGTTAAAAAAGTACTCTACAATATAAACAATTTTTGATCAGTAAAAGTTAAATAAATGAAATATGTAATAATATTTCCACATTATATGTATAATAGTAATACACTAATAATATAGTTTGTAATAATATTAAAATTAAGCATTTAAATATTTTTGGAACACTGGCCATTTTTATTTGCTTTATCCTGTTAGCTTAGAGAAAATCTGTGTACCTAGGGCCAATTTGTACCTAGGTTTCATCTTTAGATTAGTATTAAGTTTAACATTGATTGCTATATTTTCATCTAAATTAAGGTTTTGTATAAAGAAGTTGAAGCAAATTAGAATTGAAAAATGCTTTTCTTTTACTATTTTAAATAAAATACTTCTTTGACTTAAACTACATAATTTTGCTTACACTATATGTGAATAGTTGTAATAACATAGAGTTTATAAGGTTCATCTATAATATTCATCAATGATAAAAGTTATATCTAATATTTTTAACTTTTATGACTTTTTATTCTGTTGTTAGCAAAAAAAAAAATTTTTTAAAGTTATTCACGTATTCAAGGTGGAGAAGGCCACTACAGCTACTATAT